TCGACAAACGGCGATCGGTATACTTAAAGATAGGTCTAGGACCAATATTTCGCGGCGTTACAAACACTTGGGGCTGCATAAAAAGGGTGGATTTAAAAAAAAATATACATCTAAAAAATGATTGGATTTTTATACCCTTCTCCACTCCGTGGTACTGGGTATTATGTCTTTGTGCATATGTTTGTAACAGGCAAAATGAATCGAGATAGACCCATGGTTCCTTTTGAGAATATGCATAGAATCACTTTCTGAGTTGATTTATGCATGTCCGTCCGTCCGTCCGTCCGTCCGTCTGTAGATGTTAAATTGTAAACAAAGTACAGATCGCATTTATGATCCGATCTGGATGAAATTTGGCACAATTCACTTATTTGGCCCAAGGACGAACCCTATTGAAATTGAAGAAAATCGGTTCAGAATTAGATATAACTCCCATATATATTTTCGTCCGATTTAATGTAAACGGTCCCTATATATCTTTCGATTTGCACGAAATTTGGCACAACCTAATGATTTAGGTCTAGAATGATGTGTGTTAAGTTTCCTGAAAATCGGTTCAGATTTAGATATAGCTCCCATATATATTTTCGTCCGATTTAAGGTGAATGGAGCACCAAAGTCCCTATATGTCTTTCGATTTGCACGAAATTTGGCATAGCTTAATGATTTAGGCCCAGCATGGTGTGTATTAAGTTTAGTGAAAATCGATTCAGATTTAGATATAGCTCCCATATATATATTCGTCCGATTTAAGGTAAATGGGGCACCAAAGGCCCCATACACCTTTCGATATACACGAAATTTGGCATAGCGTACTCAATTAAGTCTAGAATGATGTGAGCTGAGTTTTGTGCAAATCGATTCACATTTAGATATAGCTCCCATATATATATATATATTCCTCCGATTTTATGTAAAGTGTGCACCAAAGACCCTATATATCATTAGATTTGCACGAAATTTGGCATAGCGTATGGGATTAAGTGTAGAGTGACGTGTGTTAAGTTTCGAGAAAATCGGTTCAGATTTAGATATAGCTCCCATATATATATATTCGTCCGATTTAAGGTGAATTGGGCACCAAAGTCCTTATATATCTTTCGATTTGCACGAAATTTGGCATAGGGCACTGAATTAAGTCCAGAATGATGTGTGTTAAGTTTCGAGAAAATCAATTCAGATGTAGATATAGCTCCCATATATAGTTTTGTCCGACTTTATGTAAATGGTGCACCAAAGTCCCTATATATTTTTAGATTTGCGCGAAATTGTGCATAGTGTATTCAATTGAGTCTAGAATGACATGTGCTAAGTTTCGAGAAAATCGGGTCAGATTTATATATAGCCCCCATATATATATATATATATATATATTCGTCCGAGTTAAGAAAAATAACGCACCAAAGTCCCTATATATCTTTTGATTTGCACGACATATGGCATAGGGCACTGAATTAGGTCCAGAATGATATGTGTTAAGTTTCGAGAAAATCGGTTCAGGTTTAAAAAATCGATTTTTAAAAAATAATGGCCTTGTGTGGATGCTTAAAAAGTACTTTTAAAAATCCACGCCTTTGTACGTCCCTGAAAATTTATAGCAGTATAGTCGGGCGGTCTTACGGTCCTCTTCATCCCAAAATTTTTATCTTATCATCACCGAAAATTATAGGCGTTGTCCTTGGCCCTAAGTGTAACCTTATAGAAAATTTTGAAGCGATCAGGGCTATATTTTTGCCCTCTAGTGTAGTAATGGGTTACTAAATAATATCTGAATACGTAAGCACCTGTTAGTATTTACGTGTAACTCCCACATCCGAGTACATACGACCATATAATTGGTATCAATTTAAAGATCAACCACTCCTCTTGGATATACAATCAACTTCTCGGGTCTATGTCCTTCAGTGGTAAATATATACGCTATAGAATACACATTTTGTGTGTAAATATTGACCGATCTTTACCAAAACAGGCATTTTTATTCTTTGGTCCGACTCGTCATGTCTTGGCCATAATTGTGGCCTCTGGAGCTACCAGAAAAACGGACAAAAATTAAATATTTGGTCCATTTCATCCCCTAATTTTAACCGATCTTTACCAAAAACAATAGAGGTCTTCATTGGCCACAACTCATCCTGCATGTGAAATTTCGTGAATATTGGTCCATAACTGTGGCCTGTATCGTGTTTACAAATTATAATGGACAGACGGACGGACACACATGTCTATATCGACTCAGCTAATCGAGATAATACGATCGGTAAACTTAAAGGTGGGTCTAGGACCAATATTCCACAGCGTTACAAACTCTTGGGCCTGCACAAAGCTGTAATACCCTGACAAAATCCAACCCTTGTTGTGGATGCTTGAAAAAATATTTTTTTAAAAAAATCCACGCCTTGTTGTGGATGCATGAATTTTTTTTTTTTTTAAATCCACGCCTTGTTGTGGATGCTTGAAAAAAATATTTTTTTTTTAAAATCCAGTCCTTGTTGTAGATTCTTAAATTTTTTTTTGCATCCACGCCTTGTTGTGGACCCTTGAAAAAAATATTTTTTAAAAAATCCACGCTTTGTGGTGGACCCTTGAAAAAATATTTTTTAAAAAATCCACGCCTTGTTGTGGATGCTTGAAAAAATATTTTTTTTTTAAATCCACGCCTTGTTGTGGATGCTTGAAAAATATTTTTTAAAAAATCCACGCCCTGTTGTGGATGCTTGAAAAAATATTTTTTCAAAAAATCCACGACTTGTGAAGAAAAACTTTGGTGCTTGAAAAAAATATTTTTTAAAAATCCACGCCTTGTGTTGACCCTTGAAAATTTGTTTTGAAAATTCCTCGACTTCCACGTAGACCCCTGAAAAAATATTTTTAAAAAATCCACACCTATAATGGCCCTTGAAAACATATTTTTTAAAAAATTCACATCCTTGGGTTCATAAAAAAGGTTTTTTAGAAGACCCAAAGGTCTTCTTCTCAGAAGACCCTTTGGTCTTCTTCGTAGAAGACCCTCCAGAATGTGCAACCATTTCCTTATCATGTTATTTTTTATTTGTTGTTATTTGTCTTGTTTTTGTTGCTATTTGTTTGCCTTTTACACCAAAAAAATGTCACGACATACCTCGACTCTGGTTGCCACAGAGAATACAACAAAATAAAACTGGAAAAAACATGCACACTCCGAAACGACCAAATGTTTGATTGTGGAAGTTGTGTGTTGTTATTTGTTTTCCTCTCGCCTTGTTGTTGTTTTTGTTGTTACATTTATCTATTGTTGATAACGATTTTTTTTGTCTAGTTGTTTGTTGCTGCTATTGTTGTTACTTTTTCTTCTATTTGCACAAAGACCACTCCCCGAATATTGCAAAAATATCAATAAAAAAAACCAGCAACAAACACACACACATGCCCACACACACACAATGAGAAATAACTTTACATGGCAAAGGAAAGGTAAATAATACCATACGGTCGTATTGCCCGAAGAGCGCAGCGGAGAGAGCTGTGGAGACGAGTGGTGACGAGTGGAGTGTCTTTTCAAGTGGGGTGCCTTGCAATGAAATGAAACAACCAACCAATCCAAATAGAAATGAAGCAAATATCAGAAACGGGCATGAAAGGCTCTCTCAGGCAGCCTGTTGGTGATTCTCTCTCATTGATGGTTGTTTTTCTGTTCACCGTTATTGTCCCTGTAATGTTGTAAAGCTCGTTGTGTGTGTGTGTGCAAAGGGAGAGAGAGAGAGTATTTCCCCTCTTTGGCTATGGCTTAATGGGCACTTGTTGTGTGTGGCTTAATCTGCACAACTTGTGAAAACGGATATGGAAGTTGAACTCACACACATAGGCAGACACAATCATGCTCACACACAGGGAGACCAGTCGACAGACGGCTGTTGTACTCAGAAATCTGTAACAACCACCATTTTCCAATTGGAAATGAAAAAAAAAAACCAACAAGAATGTTATTGTGCCGTTAAGGGTTGGCCTCTGAGGTTTGATGTATGTGATCAAAGAATGTGTGTGTGTGAGTATGTATGTGTATGCGACTGAATGAACCGCAGCCGCAGACTGCAACTGAAATCTGTAGAAAAAAGAGGGATTGTGTATCACCACCCCCCAATGGGACCAAAGTAGACACCACTTTACGCTGACTGGCTTTGACTTCATATCTAAGCATGCACACACACACTCTCACACATATACAGCCAACACTTGCTGGGCCAACCCAAACCAACCCACCAAATCAGTTATCACGCAGAAATAAAAAAGATAGAACGAATGAACAAATGATTCCGACATGCGCTCACCGCTCTGCTGCTGCTTTGACGAGAGTTCCATTTTTCTGTTCCACGGCAGCAGAACACTTGCTCTCCACCTTTTTTCCAATTCAGTTGAAATCGCAACGTGATAACTGTAATACGCGCTCCGTACGAACCAAACGTCCGTCGTCGCCCACAAGAAAACTTTTAACGGAAATTTCGTTTTTGATTTAAAATTTTCTTACGTTACGTTCCAATACGCACACGGACGGAGTTACACACCGACTCAGAATACCTGAAGTCCCCCCAAAAAAAAAGAAAAAAAATCAAAGTCGGATTCTTTTTTGTTAAGGCGGAATATAAATAAAGAATCCGATTCGAATCGGAGTAAAACAAAAAATTAAAAAAAAAAATATAGAGTGGAATTTCTGTGAAAGAATTTAAAAATTGTTTCCAAACCTGGATTATGGAATAAATTTAAAAAAAAATACCCCCTAAAAATCACTTTAAAAATTCAAAAATTAGAAAACAAAAAAATAATTAATTACACAAAAATTTAAATTAAAAAATTTTTGCATGTTCAAACATGTTTGTGTTGTGCTAATAATATTCTAAATTAATAACTGTGAAAATTTTTGAAAAATAAAAAAATCTATAAAATAAAAAACGGTGTTGCCACCTAAACGACAACACCGTACGTAAAGCCCCCGAGCTGTCACTACCGTCGGATGTCGTTTCCACAAGCATGGAACTTTTGAAATTAATGATGTTTAAAAGTGACTTTCTGTCCAGCAGCAGTGCCAGCAGTGATAAATGTGATGATCGCATACCGCCAATCAATTTAAGTCAATTACCCGAATTTCTATTGTGTAAGTGTTCCAAGAAAAGAATTCCGATAAAAATAAAGGATTAAAGGACATTCTAAAATAAAAAAGGACTATATATATTTGAGAAATATATTTGGAAGATAAATTTATTGAGCCGTCGCTGTAGATACATTTTGAAGAACGTTAAAAACGACAATTCATGTCCAAAGGAATAATTTTCTTGGACAAAAAATATATATTTACAAAAATCCAATATCTGTGGTGGACTCTGGACCATTGAGGATACTAAAAAAAACAAAAAATAACAAAAAAATCAATTTCATCAGGACCAAATTCCTTAAAAATCTACACCACAAAGACAGATTTTCAATAAAAATGTTTAAGTTTTTTAAATGTGAGGGAGAATAACGAATTGAAACCTAAAAAAATACAGCAAAACATGGTTCCAACGGCAGATAAAGCCCATTTCATATTTATGACAAGTTTCAAAACCAAAATAATTTGGTTTTCAATATAAAAAAGCTATACGCCCACTATTGATTGCTAATAACAGTTTTTTTAGAGAATAAAAATCGGTTTCGAAAATTGAATCTTGGGAAATACCATGTTAGAACCAAAGGATATAAATCTCTTCGTCAAAAAATTGTCTAACAATATGTAACATCCAAATGATATCTAGCAGAAAATTTAATTCACAAAAAAATTACAAATAAAAAAACTATAGAAAAATGACACCACTTTAAGGTGCTATTAGAATTTAGGAATACTATATCAACATCTGAACTGATTTAAACAGCAGCTTATGTCAATTTTTGCTAAAGTGAAATTTTGCATGTGAGTTGAATCGACCAAACATTTCATTGGTTCATAAATTCCATGGGAAGCTTTGTCGGAAACGATACTTACAAGTTTCAATAGGTGTGGACCGTGAACCCGAATATTGCTCCCTGCCAGATTACATCGCAATTGGATATTAAATGGGATAAAAATATATATTTACATCCAGGCGGACATGCATAATTTGGCTCAGAATGGGTTGAGATCCTAAGTATATGCTCTGATTTATCTCCATTCCTTTTGTGTACATAAACACCTGTATGACATTGTGACGAATTTCTACTTATAAAATATGATCATCACATCGGTATAGACATAAGAGGTTTTATGACCATATTTATATTGGAGTTTTTAATATTTTGTAAATAATACAGATGTCTTTAAAGATAAAAAAAAAATCTCCAAGAATAACATCGGCTCAAAGAGAAATAAAAAGAAATATTTTAAAAAATAATCCCTGAAATTAAAAAATAGTTTTTCTTTGCCTTTTTGAAAACAAAAACAGTTTGGAAATCGATTATTTTTTATCTGATAAAAGAAAAATACACACACATAGGACAGATTTAATGCAATTATAGCACACGAAAAATAGAAATAATTTTTAATTTTTTTTTTTCAGAAAACACCATAAAATGAGTTTGTATTTATGGGTACTTCCTGGTTGATTTCTATTACATACTGTTTTTATTCAAGAATATGTTTTCTTGAATAATAGAGAATAGACCAAGTTCAAATTTTTTAAAACCTAAAAAAACCTAGGAATCTATGACAAAAGATTCCGAAGAGATTAATTGGTATTCCATTTGACCTTTTTTGGTCAGTGTAGTCAGTCGTAATCCCAGTTTGTAGTTTTTTTTATAAAACAACGATTTATTAGTGAGAATTGGATTGGAATGTTCTCTTATCCCAGTATAGTTCCGAATCTCTCCACTGATCTTCATCAGTTTCCTTAATTTTTTTCTTAGTAAAATTCCCGCCGAATCTATTTTAAAAACTTATTTGAAATAAAATTATTTATGTCCCAATGTTGCATGTTACAAAACGATATTTAAAACCTCAAATGTTTCGAAAAATCGAAGTTTAGAAGAAACACACACTTACACTGTTTTTTTACACAATATGATGTCTGATAAAAATTGTGTTTTATTAACTCAAAAATCCGATTTTCGATTTATACCACTATTGCATTTGCCCTCACATCAGAAGCAATAATCGTAGGAAATTTCAAAATATGAATCGGAATTTTTTTATATTGACTATATTACAGGTAAAACTGAATACGTTACAAAAACTTTCGAATCAATTGGATAAAAAAATTACTGAGTTGTTTTTGTCTGAAATGACATCTTTGTGTGACCTTTATATCGTATGGATGTCCAATAGCGGGAAAAATAATGTTTTTTATTTGAAATTCAAATCTGTCACAGAAAACAAAGGACCAAGAAATTTGTATGCATCTAATGTTAAATTGTGATAGGAAATATGACATTTTTGTTAATAATACAAAATGTTCTTAAGCAAATAATGGTAAAATTCGTGGGGCATTGTTACATCGCATAAGCACATATGAAAAAACTTGATTAATCCAAACATTCGGATTTAATTCCGAAAACCCTAACTGCGAGCAGTGCAAATAAAATGGCTCAGTCCGTAAGAGGGAATATTTTCTAAGAGTAGAATCCCTCCCGAAAATATGTTTTTTTCTTTAAATAATTTAAGTTTTGCAAAAAAAAATCCACCAGAATTCTCCAAATGTCTACATACACAAGAGGAATGTAACAAAATCCCAGATGAAATTATAAAGAAATTGGTGGATAATATGCCAAACCACATTAAAAGTTTAAAGATGGGCATAGTTTATGGATAAACTATTAAAAATCGCATAGTATTTTCATTTGTTCTTATACGTACAAAAGTGTTCGAATTGAGTTGTTTTTCATTTTAATTATATCCTGCCCGGCCCTGCCCCCCTAGTTTCTTGTATCGCATATTCATATTTATAAAAAGTGCGGTAAAGGTAACCACCAAGTCCCAAAATTACTTCTGTCGCACGCACATACAAATTTGAAAGGTGCTATAGAAAGTCTCACCGCCCACAAAAAAAGGAATACCACAAAGATGCGATGATGAGGACTCAGGACTTTATATCGAGAATGATACATGTTTCAAATTGTATAGAACATGTTACGACAAACAAGTTAAAGTGGTCTTTGAGACAATTTTATTGTGTGAAAGAGAAGACATCGTCTTGAGGGGAAGTAAAGCCGTCTGAATACTGTCGTTAGATTTGTTATCTCATTGACTGCATTCACTAGAATGGCGTCTACTTTTTATTTCATCATCATTCTTTCTTCGTTACATTTGAATCTTATGATCTAATTGATAGTCGGTAATCTATTACATGGTTGTATTTTGACAATAATTTCAATCTAAACAAATTTACTACAGCTCGGCCAACCTGACGGTTGTGACCAACCCGGTCACCAACTAATTATACTACTTACATTCTACTATATACAATATAATACAATAAAATATTAGTAAGAGCAGCCCTAGGTGCCCCTACCTTAGTCTTCTGATTTCCAAAGCCTTATATTGCAGGCTTCAATTACTACATCGTAAGGTATTTATGTGATCTGGCAGTTTTCAATACCTTTTATCACATATCGGTCATTCGGTAATACTTTTCTAACTACATAAGGACCTTTATATTTTGGCACTAACTTTTTATTGGTCCCTATCGTGGTATCCACATTCCGTATCACTACAAAGTCACCTGTTTTAAATGTATTTACCAAGGCCCCTTTTGCCATAGACTTTTGCTTGCTATATGTCCTCGCAATTGCACCCTCCCCGGGGTCGTTGTTATCTCTTTGACCGCATTCACTAGAAAGGCGTCTAATTTTTATTTCATCATCATTCATTCTTCGTTAGTTAATCGGTAATCAAATACATGGTTGTATTTTGACAATGATGTCAATCTAAACAAATCTACTACGGATGTAAACTTAGAAAATGTTTGGAGAGTACACCCAAAAATGCAACATACCTCAGTTCCAGAATACTGAACGGGTTAATTGAACTAATTGGAGAATACATCCAAAAGTCTATTGTTAAAGAAGTGAAAAGTGCTGTATTCTTATTGGTTTTAGCGGATGATCCTATATATGTATACGATTTTTGACAAGGTATCTAAAGAAGTCTGTGAATGTTTCCTTTGCTACGCGAAGGATTAACAGAAAAAGAATTTTGGACCTTCATAATAAACACAGTAATTCGTTTGGGTTTGAATCAGACATATTTGAGAGGCCAAGGATATGATGGCGCGTCTAACATGTCAGGCAATTATAATGGAGTGCGTACAAATATTTACCGAATCTATAGAAGATATAGTAGAATCTTTGGAAGAAATAGGAGAAAATGGTAAGATTTAATGTTTGGATTTATTTCTAAGAAGTAGAAGAAGGGTTGGTACGCAAAAGTACTGGTCAAATGTGAGGAGTTCGATATCCGGGTATTGCTATAGAACTACATTATTTGCCCCATGTTTGGACGAACTAGTTTTAAATAAGACAACCAGATAATATCAAATGTTTTTAAAAAGTTACAGAATAGGCCTACTGATTTTAAATACAGATTATTTTTTAATATAAAAATTTAAAATATATGCAATATATTACATGTAATGAAGTTATATATTTGGTGACCCCATTTTACGATTAGTATTGCCTTTCCATATTTTTTTAATAAATATATACGAAAATTGTTTTTTTTTTTAATTAATCATCTTCTCATATTATATTTTAGGAAGGAAAATTTTACACTATATAATTTCGTACCATTTTTTAAATAAATAAAGCTTATTGGACTCTTAGCACCAAAAAAAATTAGTAGAGCTACTCTTACTTGTCCACTAGTCCTTGAAAACTTATGGCTCTTATAACATTTAATAGAATAAGTTTTAAAATCCAACCTTAGAGATCTACATATGTTCTCTAAATTCTTCATTAAAAATATAAATTTTAGATCCGATGAAATTGTTTTCTTCCTTAAAAATAGTACCTTCTAATCTGGTTTCTCCAACCTATGGTTTGTTCAAATTATGAAAAATCCCGTGCCTTCACATTGGGCGCCATTGACAAATGTATATATATTTTTTTAGAAATGAATTGGCTTCAATATAGCATTTTAGTTTCTGCAATTAATTTAAAGATTCTGTAATTTTCACTGTCCAACATTGGGCGCCATTTGAAGTCCATTCATATAGAAAAATTAAATTTTATTTAGAAACTTATCGACGTTGCCTCACGTTGGGCGCATTATTTTCCTCTTACAAACAAAAGAAATTCCCGAATCATGTATTTTGATGCCATTATAAACAAATACTGCCTTAAAACGAAGACAATTTTTTTTTGTTTTTTTTTCTGACTCACGTTGGGCGCCATTAGAATCCAATATAAATTTCCTTATTGCACCATTAAACCCCCATGGATAAAAAACTAAAATACCCTTTAACCTAAATTTAGTTAAAACTATGTGTAAACCCTTAAAAATAAAAAAAATGTATATTGTTGTTGTAAAAGGTTTTCACATGTTTGTTGTAAACTGTTCATAAACATCTCTTTAAAAGCATTTATTTTATTGGCATATGTTTGCCAGGTCTCATGTTAGCTAACTGCACATTTGACATAACATTAGTTTGAATGGGTCGCAGGTCAAGTCAGACTATTTGGTAGTTACCTTGTTAAAAAGCAACAACAACTAAAAGAAGAAAAACATAAAAAACAAAGAATAGGGGATGACCATCCCTGTCGATATGGGATGATGACCATTATTGCATGGATTTTCTATGGCCAGAACATAACAGAATGTGCCACTTAGCTTTTGTGGTATAAAGTGGCACTCCTTTAAACATTACTTTAAAAAAAAACAGCAACAAAAAGTTACATGAATTGGGATTAGCGTATCATAAGCTGAATGCGGCAGTGCCGGCACACCTATTTTGAGCTACTTTATGGCACGAGCTGAGGCTTCTTTTTGTTTTTTAGTAGCAGTAGTAGTATTGTTTGAAAGAGGGTTTGGGTTTGTGTTTGTGTTTTTTTTTTTTTTTTTGTACGTGACATTCGCATCATACACAATGTGTGTTTAATGTTGTTGTTGTTGCTGCTGCTGATGATGTCGAATTTAGTTTATGGAACTATAAACTATAAAACATTTCAAGCACATGCAACATTTTTTAAGGTAGGTTAGCCTTTTTGTTGTTGCAATTTTTTGTTCGTTTTGTTGTTATAAATAATATGTGTGTGTTTAATACAGAGAGTAAAAGCCACTCTAATGTGGTGTGGATTGCATTCAAACATAAATGTTAAAATAACTATAAACGGGTCATTGGTTTAGGGATTTTAAATAGCTTTAAGGAAATATATTCAAGATAGCTCTAAAACAGCTTATAGTATCCATTTTCGTTTTAGACGCCCTTTGTAAGATTTTTATAGAGAGGACATTTGAAGATTTGATTACTTTTAAACGATTAATTTCTAACCTCTAAAAATCCGTCAACAAATTTATTAACGAATCCGTTGATAAACTCTACTTTCAATTTAAAAATGGCGCACAAATGAATTTTTTTTAAAAACTTATAATCAAATTACAACAAATTGAAAGCATAAAACAACGTTTAATATTTTTTGCAAATGATGGCGCCCAACATGGAGAATGTTCTATATTATCAAGTTTTGTGGAAAAGTGTGAATTATTAAATTTACTGGATGAGATTTCTATTCTATAATAATACTCTGAGAATTTTTTTACTGGCGCCCAAGTCTTCCATTTTATTTTTTTTTTAAGACTTTTCTGTAATTGTATCTATATTTTAAGGCTAGGCGTAAATATTTATTTATTTTTTAAATACAAAAGTTCTAAGTTGTATAACTGCAAGTGGCGCCCAACATGGGGCAATACAAAATCCACATTTTGTTATTTAAAATTTCGAAACTAGATATAAGTAGTTAATTATAGCCAATTGTATTTAAATTTAAATAAACAGGTGGCAAACAAATTATAGAACATGTTTTGTAAATGTTGGCGCCCAACATAGAACACTCTCTATTCATTCTAATTAAATTATACAGCTCTATATGCTGTTCAATTTGCTAGTAAGATTTTCTATTCCATTACAATACCCTGAGAAATTAAAAACAAAATGCAAAATAATATTCGTGTGGGTAAATTTTGTTAATGGCGCCCAATGTGGGGCGCCATTGAGATATTTTATACTTAGATTGCCCACCAATATTTTTTTTACTCTTTAGTTAGGGTGAAATGTATCGTTATAAGTAGGTCTATAACAAAGAAATACTGAGAATCCCAATTACCAAAATTCTGACAATACCTGTGGAAAATCTGACGGAATTTAATATTGTCACCCATAGTCTGAAAAAAAATATTTAACTATAAGGTTGATCTTCATCTGTTATCCAGAAGATGTTGATCACAGGGTTCTTCTAAGCTTCTTAAGTAGAAAATAAAAATATTACAAGCAAAAGAAGTAAAATGTCAAAATTGCTCCCAACGAAATGCATTAACATTTTTTTTTAACTTTTAACTGAAAATACAGTAGAAAAAGATGTCATTAGAACAAGTGCTATACAAATATTATTTTGTAAGTATTACTGAGAACCCCACATATCTCATTTTTGGTAATCGTTTGAAAAATCGGACCAAATTTCATAATGGGCCCAGTGTGAGGCAGAAAAATATTTAATTTTTTTAGACTATTGCCTATCATTTTATATCAAAAAGAAGTTGTTAACAAGTCCGTCTACGCTCTTGTGGTATTTATGTTTAAAAAAAATACAAACAACATGTTTAAAATTTTCCACTGGCGTCCAATGTGAGGCATTAACAGAGAATCCCAAATACCAAACTTCTAGCAATCGCTTAGAAAATCTGACTAAATATCACAATGGCGTCCAAAGTGGTATAAACAAATATTTTATTTTTTAAGTCGTTTATGCTCTTTTATCCAGAAGATGATGTGAATGAGTTCTTCTACGCTCTTTAAATATACAAAAAAAGTAAAAAAGCGTCAGCCTATGGTTTGCAGAGGTGTTTATCAAAAAGGTTTCGGATTTAATGTTGATCAAATCAGTTATTTAATTCGTTTCAATTTAATAAAATTTACCAAAATGCTGACTAGTTCTGAGAGAGAACATGATCTGGGTATGGTTCAAATCGGACATTCCATTCGCCTAATATTGAGTTTGTAAATATTGAAAATTTTGAACATTTGTGGGGGTCCCATATTCGCACTTAAACCAGACTTGCTCACGGTAATAGGTTGAGTAAAGTTTGGTTCAAATCGGATAGCCCGTTCGCACGATTTTACAAAATTAATTTTCTGCAAAATGTTGCCCATTCTGTGGGGGAGGTACCAGAAGGAGTGGATCGATATTCCCCATCTTTGAACTTGAACTAAGTTTGGTAGAAATATTACGATGTGAAAAGTTTGGATAAAATCGGTTAATCCTTTCGAGAGTTATCGTGCGCACCAGCCGGCCAGACAGACGGGTGAACATTTGTAAATCGGCTGTAAATTTTTTTAAACGAATTTGGATTAAAGAAACATGGGGTCTAAGACCAATTGCCGTATCAAAGTGTATATACCCTGATTAGACATAAGACTGTGGGTATAAAAAATAAAATAATTACAATGCTTGAAATTTCCTAATGGCGCCCAACATAAGGCAATACAATTTGCAATTTACTTTTCAAATATTACACTTTTAAGGCAGGTGCATTATATCCACACTCTGATAAAATGTTCATTCAATTGTCATGACTTAATATATAAATTGAGCCCAACGTGACAGGAACCGTTCTGAAAACAGCTTCGGCCGAGATATCGATTTGGACACAGACTTTTTTGCATAAAGATTTATTCTCCTCATATAAAATTCCAAATACCAAAATTAAAATCGATTAGCAAATGCGGTCGTAGATTTTCCAAATGGGCCCAATGTGGGGCAACGCTTTATTTAATATTTTTATTTTAAATATTCATGTATAAAAAATGTTAAACATTTTGAAAAAGGTGAGTTCAAAATGCTGCAAATAGTAATGCGATATGGGATCTAATTTTGTATGAAATATTACGTACCTGAAAATAGGCTGAATATTTTTTGGTAAACAGTTTTTATTTACGTAGAATAAAATTTATTGGAAATGTGGCGTTATATTTTTAAACATCGCCCAATGTTGGCCAATGAGTTTTTTGGTTTTTTTTATATGAACGTTTTCTAATTACATTCAAATTGTGAGATAAATTTTCAAATGGCGCACAACGTGGGGCAATGAATATTTAAAGTTTTTTATAGAGGATTTCAAACAGTGGAATTGACATTTTATTTGGAACTTCATTAAAGAATATTATGAAGTTTCTAGGCCAAAGAAAACCACTGTCCATCTTCCATACAAAAAATATTCAGGACTTTTTATTTATTTTCCATTACAAATACGTCATATATCAAATTCCAGACAATTCCTGTGGAAAAGGTCCACAGTATTTGAAAAATATCTTCAATAGAAAATATTACAGAGGACCTCCCTCTCTTCTAAATTTCCCACAAATATGTGTGTTTGGTTGTTCTTGTCGTCATTTATGATGATTTTTTTGCAAAAATTCTCCCCGACAAAATTAGGTTACAGAAATTAATGATGTATGACATTTTATTTTGGCAAATAAAATGGATAAAGGATTTGAGCGAGAAGGATAACAGTTATCCTTTTTGATAAATAAATAATTAATTTCAAAAGAAGTTTTAGAGTTTATTTTTTTATTGTATTACAGCAACTTTAAAATGAACATAAGCTAATAAATTATTTAAAATGGGACACACACATACACAGAGACATTATAAAGGATAAAGTAATGTATATGTGTGTATATCTCCATTAAAAGTCCTCTGCTAAAAACTTCATTGCCTTACTTTAAGGATTAAAGGCATTTTTATTTTTTCTTGAAGCCCATCCCGACCATTTATCAATTTTTTCCTTCTTGAAAGCAATCCTTGTCTACTCCACCTCCTTCATTGACTTGCTTTTCTTCCTCCATTTATTTTACTGCCTATTTTATGTAGCAATGTATTTCATTTTGTTTCTCTTCTTCTTCATCATTTATTTACAGCAACAATCCCGAAATGTGGTGGCTGTCATGAACTGATATTGGATCGATTCGTTTTAAAGGTGCTAGACCGAACGTGGCATGCCAAGTGTTTGCAGTGCAGCGAATGTCATGCCCAGCTGAATGATAAATGTTTCGCCCGCAATGGCCAGCTGTTTTGCAAGGAGGATTTTTTTAAGTAAGTAAATTTCGGTAGATGATTCGGAAAAGGAATTTATCCCAATACGAAGGTGCTGGGAAGGTCTATGGAACACCTCTTTAGTATTCTAATAAGAAAAACTATTGGTATTCGAATAAAAAAAGCCTCATAGAATTCTGATAAGAAGACATATTGGTCATCTAATAAGAATTCTTACTTGTTGTCCAATAAGAAGTATTGTTGCTCTTCATATAATAACATTTATTCGTCCCCCAATAAGAACAATTATTGACTCTCCAATAAGAACACTTATTGGTTCTCCAATAAGAAGACTTTTTGGTCTTCCAATTAGAAGACTTATTGGTCCCCCAATAAGTACTTATTGATCCTCCAATAAGTAGACTAATTGGTCCTCCAATAAGTAGGCTTCAATAAGTCGAATTATTGATTCTCCAATAAGTATACTTATTGGTATTCCAATAAGAAGACTTATTAGTCCTCCAACAAGAAGACTTATTGGTCCCCCAATAAGAAGACTTATTGATTATCAAATAAAAAGACTTATTGATTATCCAATAAAAAGACTTATTGGTATTCCAATAAGTATAAATTTTGGTCCTCCAATAAGTAGACTTATTAGTTCTCCAATAAGTAGGATTATTGCTCCTCCAAAAAGTAGACTTATTGGCCCTCCAATAAGTAGACTTATTTGTCCTCCAATAAGTAGACTTATTGGTCCTTCAATAAGTAGACTTATTGGTCCTCCAATAATTAGACTTATTGGTACTCCAATAAGAAGAGTTTTGGTCCCCCAATAAGAATACTTATTAGTCGCCAATAATAAGAAATATTGGTTCTCCCATAAGTAGACTTAGTGATTCTCCAATATGAAGATTTGTTGGTACACCAATAAGAAGACTTATTGGTCCTCCAATAAGTAGACTCCAATAAGTAGACTTATTGGTCTTCCAAAACCAGGGTTTATTGGTCCTTCGAGAATTATATATATATTTTTTTTGGGGGTCTCTAATAAGAATATATCTTCCACCCTCTTTTTAATATTCATTATTAAACCACCATCTTTGTTAAAAGTAATTTAATTAATAATAACCACCCTTTGTCCTTTCCCAATGTTTGGGTCTTCTAATAGGCGTTACGGAACGAAATGTTCCGCTTGTGATATGGGTATACCGCCGACGCAAGTTGTCCGTCGGGCACAAGACAATGTCTATCACCTGCAGTGTTTCCTATGTACGATCTGTTCGCGTACCCTAAATACCGGCGATGAATTCTACCTCATGGAAGATCGTAAGCTAGTGTGTAAACGGGACTATGAAGAGGCTAAGGCGAAAGGTAGGTCTGCGGGAAAATTCCTTCTTTGAAAATATTAAATAAAAAGTTTATCCTTTCTTCTCTCCAGGTTTATATTTGGATGGCTCGCTGGATGGTGACCAGCCGAATAAACGACCACGCACCACAATAACCGCCAAACAATTGGAAACGCTGAAAACCGCCTACAATAACAGTCCGAAACCTGCGCGACATGTGCGAGAACAATTGTCACAGGATACGGGGTTGGATATGAGAGTTGTACAAGTCTGGTTTCAAAATCGGTAAGTATGGACAATGAAGAATTTCTAAGAATTGAAAAAATATATTCTATGGAGGAAATTTCCACCATTCCCCCTTTTATTACTCACTTCCATTCATTGTATCGTTCCGCACAATGAATTTTATAAAGTGTCCGATAGATAACATTGTCTCATGCAAAACGAAGCAGAATTCAATGGTCACTTAGTTATCGAAGTGTTTGCTAATCTTATCGAGGCTAGTCGGTGAAGCAGGGACGTAGCTAAAATTGGAACAAAACGGGCACAATGAATGAAATATTAAAAAAATATTCAAATAATAACAAATTTATGGAGGTTCGGAATTATGAGCCCAAAACGACCCTAACTCCCCACCGGAAATTTTTTCTTCAGCCTATATTAACCAAATAATATCCCCAGCATCGTTGTTATATACAATTTTTGAGTTATTCCTTAAAACCCCTGTTCCATTCCAATCGTTCCACCTTATTTCAACATGTTCCAATTTATAAATCGCCATTACATTGTAAATCTATTAATTAAAACATTTTTTAATCCAGTTTTTACTAATCGAAATACAGTGTTCCATTCCATTTCGTTCCAACTCCACTAATTCTACATTGGCAATATATTTTCTAGATTCAATAACCTAAAAATACACCCCATATTATTTTTAAATTTAAATATTTGTAATTAGGCAAAAATCCTCTGTTCCATTCCAATCGTTTCACTTTATTCCACCAGGTTCCAAATCACAAGACGCCATTATATTCAAAATCTATTATTTAAAACATTTAACAATCCATTTTGTACTTATCGAAATATTGTGTTTCATTCCATATCGTTCCAATGTGTTTTCCCCAAAAACACCTGTTTCAATTCAATCGTTCCACTAGATTCCAACATTTTCCAAGTCACAACAGGCATTTATATTCAATATCTACTCATTTTGAAATGTCCATATATATATTATGTACTAATCCAACATACAGCGTTCCATTCCATTTCGTTCCAATGCCCCTAATACTTGATTAGCAAAGCTTTTGCAACCTGGTAAAACCTACTTACGTTTTAAACCCAAAACATTTGTTTATTCTTCAAAAAACGTTGTTCCTTTCCAATCGTTCCAATTTATTTCAACATATTCCACTTTACCACACTCTATTACATTCACTGTATATTCATTCAAACATTTCCCGATCCATTTTATACAAAACCAAATAAATTGTTTCATTCCATTTCGTTCCAACGCTCCCAATTCCTTATGGGCAAAATTTTTGTGAGCCGCAATAACCACACAATGTTCTCTACATAATTTGCAAATGAAAATTGTGTGTTATTCCTCAAAATCCCCTGTTCCATTCCAATCGTTTCACATTATTCCAATATTTTCCAGAAACAGTGTTTCATTCCATTTCGTTCCAAAGACCTATTCATTCCTCCTATCACCGGGGTTCTCTTTAATATCTCATCCATTATACATTTCCCACACCAATTTGTGTGGAATCCAAAAACACTGTTCCATTCCACTTCGTTTCAACGTCGTATAACCAGCAATTTTTTTATTATTACATAACAAAAGTAGATAAACATTCAATTTGTTTCCAAATAATGTTTTTTCTTATTTTTTATGCAAATACCTTAATGTTCCATTCCATTTCATTCCGTTTCAATAACGCATGTGCGTGAAAATAAATTCAAATTTGAAAAGCGAAGACACCCACCAGTATGTGTGGTTGTGTCCAGTATGACAGTTTTGTTATACAATATAACAGAGTGTAAGTGACTGTAAATTTGAATTTAGAACAAATAAATTCAATGACCTTTATAAAGAGGAAACAATTATTTGGCAAAATATTAACTAATTTAAATGTGACTGTAAATTCGAATTTGTAACAAATTAATTTAATAAACTATATAAAGAGAAAACATTTATTTGTTAAAATTTAAACTAATTTAAACACTTACTTCACAGGTAAATTCATTGGTGGTGGAGTTATTGTCGCAAGAACACTATGTTTAATCCATGTGCACGCATCATCATTGGGCTTCTTTATAATATATTAATTTGTAATTTTATATAATGTTTGCTATGTTTTTATGTAATTTTGTATAATTTTATTTAAAATATTATTTTTATTTTACTGTAATGTAAATATGTTTTGTGTTGTTAATGCGTTTTATTACTTGTATGTTTTCTATTTTTTTTAAATATGTGGAAATTATTTATGTTTTTATATAAGTACAAAAATGTGTATGTATATTTATATATTGCTTGTATGTTTATGTATTATAGTGACTTTCATTGTCTATGTTACGCTTTCATTGCATATCACAATTTAAACTTTAGTAATTTAGAATATAAGAAAAGCTTATGTAAAATTCGTTTCGGTCCACTGTGCAAAAATTCGACCTAATGCACCCCTAGACTACGTACCATTGGATAGGCCTTGGAAAGAGCTTCTAGACCCAGTTTTTATTTTGTTTCCAAATATGTTAGAATTTTAGTTATTTCCAATATAAGAAAACCCCTATGAAATTCGTTTCAGCCCACTGTGCGAAAATTCGACCTAATGCACCCCTAGACTATGTACCATTGGATAGGCCATGGAAAGAGCTTCTAGACCCAGTTTTTATTTTGTTTCCAAATATGTTAGAATTTTAGTTATTTCCAATATAAGAAAACCCCTATGAAATTCTTTTCAGCCCACTGTGCGAAAATTCGACCTAATGCACCCCTAGACTATGTACCATTGGATAGGCCATGGAAAGAGCTTCTAGACCCAGTTTTTATTTTGTTTCCAAATATGTTAGAATTTTAGTTATTTCCAATATAAGAAAACCCCTATGAAATTCGTTTCAGCCCACTGTGCGAAAATTCGACCTAATGCACCCCTAGACTATGTACCATTGGATAGGCCATGGAAAAAGCTTCTAGACCCAGTTTTTATTTTGTTTCCAAATATGTTAGAATTT